TGGTTTTTCTACCGTCTCAGCATTGGCCTCATTTATTTCAGTATGGGCTTCGTCAGTTTCCAAGCCTTTTTCTTGTGGCCTGCTGAGTTCAGCAGATTCCAGCATTTCAGAGGTTCTTGGTGGTGAGCTCTCAGTGGTGTCCTGAGAAAGGAAAGAGGAAGAATCTTCAGAGATCGAAAAAGACATAATCGAATGTAGGTATCTACACCTAAGTTATAAAAAGGTTTAAAAGATTACCTGTAAGTTAGCTTCATCCCCAGGGCTGGAATTGTCGCTTTCGACAGGCTTGTTGAGAAGAACGTTTAGTTCCTCCTCCGTTGGCTCCTCAATGATCACTGGAGGTGGCCTGGGCTTTCTCCCAGCAACCTTTATTCTAAATGTTCGACCTTCAGGAGCAGGAGCAGGAACAGGAGCGTCCTTCGTCAGCTTTCGCCTTTTTAGAGGAGCAGGAGGAGAATCACTTTCTTCATCGCTCCCAGATTCGACCATCAGTGCTGGCCGTTTCTTGGGCGAAGGTGCCTAAAAGACCAATGGGAATTCGACTTAGCAATTGTATCGAAAGTCAAAAATCGAAAGCCAGAAGAAAATAATGAAAGTCTGGTTACCGATACAGAAGGCTTCTTCGAAGGGCCTTCCCCCTGTTGGTTGGTGGTAGTCTTCGCCGGCGCTGTAGTCTTCGCCGGCGGTGGAGGTTTTGTTGAAGGGCCTCCTCCCTGTTGGCCTTCTGTAGCCTTCTTGGCTACAGGCTTTCGAACAACTGAAAGCAAATAAAAAGTTAACAGGCTAGCAGTCGAAAAGAAAGACAAAGTAATGTAAAAAGGATGAACTTACATTTCTTTATTTTGTCCAACACAAGGACAAAAGATTTCTGAAGCTCATCCATGAAGTCCTTCTCGTCGAAAAACTCCTCAGCGTAATAACTTTTCCACCACTCCTCGAAGGATGGTGAGCAAAGAAAGTTGAGCTGGTAGTCAAACAACGAGAGAACTGTTCGACCAGCATATCTTCCGATATGCTTAATGGCAGCTTCTTCGGTGTAATCATTGCAGAAGTACAACATAGACTTCTCTCTTGGAAAAATGGGAGAAGGTAGGGTTTGAATAATACCAAACTGGCGAGATACCAGGTTTGGTTGGTATGCAATCAGACTCAAATGAGTCTTAGAACTCCGAAATCGAAGAGGCATGATCCTTGGTGTGAGGAACGCCTCCCACAGTATTGTATGTTCGTCAACATTAGGACCACTCGACGTCCTTGGATGTGGCCTTGTGAACCATGCTGGGCCTACCTTCCGTCGAGCAAACGGAGCCATAGTCGAAGCAAACTCCTTCCTTCGAGCAAACATCAGAACGAAGTTGGTGAAGGTTTGTTGAAACTCCAATCCATCTTCCATAGGCGTCAACAGAGCCAGTCTGGTTCCTTCGACGCGTCTGTTCGCTATCTCTGGAGCCTGCTCATTTATTTGAACCTTCTTAGGCAAGAAAGATTCGAAGGTGGCATTGAGCCACAGTTGGAGCAGCCAAAAAGGCCCAGCAAGTAGCAAACTGGCCCTGTTCTCGATAATTTTTAGAAGAGTGGCCCCATTACTAATCGAATCATAGAGGCTAGCCAGAATCAATTCTGCCAAACAGACATTCTGGCCATGATGGAGTTGAGTGGCGAGAGTGACCATCTTCTTGGTCACTTGTAGGGACTTCGAGCAAAATACAAAGCGAGTCAGCCATAAAGCTAGAAACGCTATGTGTTCGACATCCGACACAGCATCTGTCGACCTGTCGTGATAGTGGTTGATGAAAGTGGTGTATGTTGGTTTGGTGTCAGAGAAGCCAATTTGATCCTCCGACATCTCCTCCGGATCGAAGTAGTCCCCGGTGGGTCGAAGGCCAGTAATAGCGGCCACATCGAAGAGTGTAGGAGTCAGCATCCCACAGGGAAGATGGAAAGTAAAGTGGGAGTAGTCCCAGAAAAGTAGAGAAGCTATCAGCATCTCTGGAGAATAGTTCAAACCTGTCTTCGACAGCATCACCAGGTCGAAAATCCCCATCTTTTTCCAGATCGAAGCTTGGCTTTTCTCCATCTTTTCCAGCCAAGCAACGTAATCAGGAGTAAGGCTAGGGCCAGAACTGAAAGCCCTAACACCTCTGTTGAAGAAGCGGAGGTCGATTTTTTCATGTGCAGGGTCTTCATTATCTTCAGCATCCTTCTTGGCGCATGCAACCGGTTTGAGTTTCTCAACTACCGGAAAATAGCTCTTAATCTTCATGGCCTCAGCAATACTGGGATACAAGGGGCCAGACATAGCAAAGATCTGGTTGGAATATCCAACCGGGATCATAAGGTGATGTGAGTAAGCGTCACGTACGGCGATGTCCAAGGGTTCAGGGACCCTTTGTTGACCCGTAGCAGTTACTACTGGAGCAGTGACGAAAACCTTAGGTTTGGCGTTTCCAGTTGGTACGGTAGCGCTAGGAGCATTGGAACCATATGCCATTGTTAGTGTTGAGGTTGAAATGAGGTTGAAGACAAAGTGAAGGAGGAAAAGTTTCTGCAAAGATAACAAGTTTGTATGAAATAGAGAAGTTTGAAGGCTAGATGGCGTAAAAAGTCCCACAATGGGGTGCTTACTGCTATTTATAGTAGTAGGGGAAAATCCCCAAAACCGAGGAGAAGTGGTATCTTTTTACGCCTGTGCATAATCTCATCAACAAACTATCTACATCCACTACTATGTATCTTGTTCTCTTTCTTGAGAAATCATTTTCCATGAAAACATTTGCTCAAAATAATGAAATCTTGGAACTTAAAGAAGCTTGGAAAATTTCTCTATGATGAATTGCAAGTGCAGAAAAATATTTTCCAATGGTTGAAACATATAACTTATTAGAAGTTGGACGCATGCAATCCATTGAACTTCAAAAGAATGCGCACAAAAGGTATGCAACAAAATCTTGATTACAATAAAGATTTGTTATTCTCCAAGAATAACAACGATGATGAATCTAGATTTGTGGTAGTCAATTAAAACCTAAATTTTCAATTAAAACCGAGGGATAAATACTTTTTACTTCGATTTGTGTCATAACCGAGGGGATAATTAAGTGTGTTTATCGAGGATATTCACCGTCCTTAAACAAATCTTTATCGTTCACTTAATGAGTATCAACGCTCAAGACACTCTCATTACTGATCCGCATGAAAAGTAAAACACATCTATTATAAAAGCATTCTAAATATCAAAAATTGATAATGAAACATGAAACTCTTAAAACTATTTACATCCACCACTATATATCTTCTTCTCGGTCTTGTTAAAATATTTTTCATGAAAATTTCTCTATGATGGATTGCAAGAACAAAACATTATTCGGGTTTAAAGTTTATGTTCTTAAATATTTATTAGAGCAGAAAATCATATAACTCAAATATTTATTTTATTTATGCAACTTTTTTTTTTGTTTATATTAGAAACAAATGCAAGCAAAAGCCATTGATATATACTCGCCCTCAACACCCCCTTATTTTTTTTAATAACCGATGAATAAAGTGATAATTTTTCATGACGCCATTCATTACCCCGCTTTTGTTGCCGATGTTAAATACATTTCGTCTCAGAGGTTAAATATTTTTTGTAGTAGTGCAAATTCCTTCTCGTCTCCGTCTCTGATCCCCGTCACGAGAGAATATTTTTCTCCATCCCCATATCCATAGATTCCCACGGAGATCGTATCTTAAAAAAATTTCTTTATTTTTCGATCAAAACTATGACACTAGCAATTAATTATTTTTTTCTCTTTTTTAAAAAAACACATATATTTTACATTTTTTTTCTTTTTAAAAGTAAATAAAACATCTTGCATTAATAAAAAAAAATGCAAAAGCACTTGATGATTTCAATTTTTTCTTGTAAAAATAAATAAATATTCAACCGAACTTGTTGCTATAATGCATGCCTTTGTACAAACATGATGTTGGCACAATACAGAAGCAAAAAACACAACAATAATCTTCAATACTATTTATCTCGAACTATTCTAAAAAAACTCTTATGCTAATTTACTGCCTCCACAGTACCACTGATGTCTAGCGCATGTGATTGATTACATGTGAGTGTGCCAAATCCATGAGTATCAGATTCACTCACACTAATCATTTAAACATAACCACTAATTTATTATTTGAATGAAAAACATATTACATAAAAGTATATTGAATTTAAAGAAAAAGAGTATTTGTTGTGATGATAATGATGAAAATATAAGAGACGATGAATGAAATAGACAAAGATAATTGAAAAGAAAAAAAAAACGATGTATATATTATATGTATTGAGTGCACTTTTCTAGAACTTGATAATTGAATAGTGAAACAATACATTATACAATAAATAAATAATTCATTAATGACACTTCATTTTCTAATATATTAATATATTTTTTTATAAAAAAATATATAAATTTATATAATTAATATAATATATAAAATATAAAAATAAATAATATGGTTAACATCAGAAAATCCGCAGAGTAGAAGCTCCTTCCACGATGCCCATCCCAAAATGTTATTAGAAATTTTTTTCGCTCTATTCTCATCCCTGTAGAAGATAAAATCCCCAACATAAAAATTGAAATTCCTACTCCTCACCTAAAAAAATGCTAGAGTTTTCGGTAGTATACTTCGATAAATAGAATCTTCATATTTTTAATATTGGATTAAATTGTTCCCTTTAGACGGATTGATGAAAGAAAAAATAGTGAAGGTGGTCACTGTTTAAGGAGGAGAATATTATTAAGCCACTTCATATTAATGAAATACTATTTGAAGAAAAACATGGCTACTATTTGCATAATAATAACCATATATAAACAAGAGATGAAAGAGGTGGATCAATATTTGGTAACCATGAGTAACCCCTTGATTTGAGCAAACTACAAAGCATCAAATAAAACATAGATAAAGCGTGAATTTGATTTTATCAAATTTACAGTGATTCAAACATACAACTAAAAAGATGATACATACATATATAGAAAAACAATTGCAACAACAAAGACAGGATGAAGTCGGTTTGATATGAAAACCAAAAGAAACACAAGTACAGCAACCGAACCCCAGGTAGATTGTCCTCCATCTCCACCGTCCAAATTTGTCACAATAGATGTCGGAGCCACGTGTCGTCCAAACAAAGAGATGAGAGTAATCACAAGTGTCAAAAACAAGAGCAACAAGTTAAGTTTGGTGCTAGTTGATTGCATGTTTATATATGATGAAATCCACAATAAGAACACCACGATACCAACTATGGCTATAAGTTGCAGAGGTGGAGTTGATAAAGAGGATAAAGAGTTTTCCATCCATCCTTTCTTCAATTGTGAATCACTACTCTCGTTCACTAAGGAAGCCATTCGTTTCTCTCTCTCTAAAAAACAAGTCACAATTGTTGTAGATTTTTCCTGAACTAGTAGTTGTGGATAACACCATTGGGTTACACTTGCATATAATATATATAGACTCACATAAAATCAAAATTTTTTTTTTTGTGAAGATAAATATTCTAAGGCATTCAATGAGCTTTAGACGGTTAAATATGTTATAATATTATCTATTACAATACATATACAAGTAATAAAATATATAGACGAATATATGTCGCGCAAATTGAATTCATGTTTATCTTTTGGAGAATATATTTTATATAAAAATAGTGGCGATATATAGTTCAATATATGTCGCGCAAATTGAATTCGTATTTATCTTTCGGGCAATATATTTATATAAAAATAGTGGTAAAATAAGCTGTGATATGTCAGACAAATTTGCACACTCATTAAAAAATAACGGGTAAATTGATTTTGAATTTATCGTCCATAAAATTCGTTTCTTTTCGTTTCTTTTTTGACGGGTTTATTACATGACGAAATGACACAGAGTAGAAAGTACGATCTGTTTTACCACTTCTAAAAAAAAAAACTTATAAATGTTTAAAAATCAATGAAGTTAAATTTAGTGGAAACAAAACTCGCAATTAAGATGAGCGTGCAAGGCAAGTAATTAACTTATTAATAAATTTACTTTTTATACGAAGAATATCCTATATGTAGTATATATCTAGAGGATTTGAGAGGAAAACCAGTTTGGACAATTATTTCTTTCTAGTTTTTGTTTTGTTTTGGGTTTAAGTCTAGTTGTGAAAATCACATAATTTAAATTAGAATTATTTCTGTGTAATTTTTGTTTTGTTTTGGGTCTAAGTCCTGTTGTGAAAATCACATAATTCAAATGTTGTAATTGATTAGTGTGTTTTGATAATCGGGTTACCAACGCATTGAAAATTATCTTTTAGAATAGTTGTAATCGGGTACTATATTTTGGTAACTGGTTACCATCGTGTTGAGAATTAATTTTAGAATACCTGTAACCAAGTATAAGAAAGCTGTATTCGGGTTACAGACATACAATTTCAATTTTTCTGTTTTTCAATTAATTACTTACTATATCTCAATATATATATACACACCTTTGAGGTATCAATGTAATGCTAATGTTGAATGTCAGTATATTTTTCACTCTCAATTATACTCTCTCTCTCTCTCTCCATATTCAATTACTCAACTTTCACTAACTTTGTGGTTTTAAGTTCTAACATTTGGCTTAAGAGTCATATTCGATCCACCAAACACCTAGTGTGAAACATGAATTCTATATCCAAGGAAAGATTCTCTACAAACTTATCCATCTTTGATGCGAATAATTACGATAAATGATGCAAACAGATGAAGGTGTTGGTTGACTACCAAGATGTTCTTGATGTGATCAAGAACATTGTGAATCATTTTGTCGAAGGTGCAATGGATGCATAACAAGAATCACATAAGGAAGAAAAGAAGAAAGATTTCAAGGCGCTATTTTTAATCCATCAATGCGTTGATATTGATAATTTTGAGAAAGTTAGTGATTGTGAATCATCGAAGCAAGCGTAGAAAATCTTGGAGAAAACATACGCATGAGCTGACAAGGATATTTTCCACAATGGAGGTTACCTCCATCCAAATGTTTATGGAATCAATGCTATTGTGGAGGATGAAGAAGAGCAGAAAATGCCGAATTATGTGACGCCTGGAGTCAGAGTCCAGAACTGGGTCACTATTGATATTCCCTCTTGCATCCATGTCTCAAAGTAATTTGTTTTTGTTTATCTTTGCAAAAAGCTTTCACTCCGCCCAAGGTGAAATTTAATATTGTACAGACTTATCTGTTTGCTTTGCTCATTAAAATCATAAATAAAAGTTGTCTTTGATTCCCAATTTTTTTTATTTTCTGCTTTTTCTTGGAAAATGATAATCAGAAAAAAACCTTTTGAAATAAATAATAATTGTAAATAAATCTTCATAATCACTTGATATATGTGTCAGTTTCTAAAAACAATCATAAATCATATGTGTAGATTAATTAATAAATCCGTTGAATACGATGACCCTGCACCCTCTCCCAACTTTGAATATCTTGTGTATGGGACCGAAGAAGAAGAATATGATGACATTCTAGAAGAGGTTTCACGGTTGCTCGAGCGCGAGGAAAGTGTCATTCAGCCGTATAAAGAGCCATTGGTGACCATCAATTTGGGTTCAGAGGAAGAGCCAAAGGAGGTCAAGATTGGAGCATAACTGCACCCCGATGTGAAGAGCAGATTGACTGAATTGTTGAAAGAGTATGTGGATATTTTTTCTTGGTCTTACCAAGACATGCCTGGTCTAGATACTGATATTGTGGAGCATCATTTGCCGTTGAAGCCAGAGTGCTTGCCAGTCAAGCAAAAATTTCGAAGAACTCACCCTGATATGGCAGTGAAAATTAAAGAAGAAGTTTTAAAACAGATTAATGTCGATTTTCTTATGACATCAGTGTACCCTCAGTGGATTTCCAATATTGTCCCAGTACCAAAGAAAGACGAAAAAGTTCACATGTGCGTTGATTATAGAGATTTAAATAAAGCTAGTCTAAAAGATGATTTTCCATTGCTGCATATTGATATGTTGGTTGATAGTACAACAAAATTCAAAGTATTCTCGTTCATGGACGGATTTTCCAGATATAATCAAATAAGAATGGCTCTTGAGGACATGGAAAAAACAACATTCATCACACCCTGGGGAACATTCTGTTACAAAGTGATGCCCTTCGGGTTGAAGAACGCTGGTGCAACGTACCAGAGGGCTATGACATCTCTATTCCATGATCTGATGCACAAATAAATTAAGGTACATGTTGATGACACGATTTCAAAATCACAAACCGAAGAAGGGCATGTAAAAGATTTGTTGAAATTTTTTTAGCGATTAAAGAAGTATCGTCTCCGCTTGAATCTAAACAAATGCACCTTCGGTGTCCGATCAGGGAAATTGATAGGTTTCATTGTCATAAAAAAATGAAGCTGACCCTGATAAAGTCAAAGAAATTCAAGAAATGCCCGCGCCAAGAACGATAAATCAAGTTAGAGGCTTTCTTGAGCGGTTGAATTACATTTCCAGATCATTTCCCACATGACTGCAACATGTGAACCGATCTTTAAGTTGTTAAAGAAAGATCAAGGTTGTGTGTGGATAGATGATTGCCAAAGGTCATTTGAAAGTATTAAAGAGTATCTGCTTGAACCTCCTATCCTGCTCCCTCCCGTTGAAGGAAGACCATTGATCATGTATCTGACAGTGTTAGATAATTCTATGGGTTGCATTTTTGGACAATAAGATAAAACAAGGAAGAAGGAATATTCCATTTATCATCTCAATAAGAAGTTTATTGACTGTGAATCACAATATTCTTTGCTGGAAAAGACATGTTGTGCTCTGGCCTGGGCGGCAAAGCGGTTGCGGCAATATATGTTGAATCATACTACTATGTTGATTTCCAAAATGGATCCAATTAAGTATTTTTTGAAAAGCCCGCTATTATTGGAAGAATTTCTCGTTGGCAGATGTTGTTATCTAAATATGATATTGAATACCATGCAAAGAAGGCTATAAAAAGTAGTGTGCTGACGGATTATCTTGCTCACCAACCGGTAGATGATTATCATCCTGTTAAATATGATTTCCCTGATGAGGATGTTATGTTTCTGGAAGCGAAAGATTGTGATGAACCTTTGCCCAGGGAAGGTCCTGATCCTAAATCTCGGTGGGGTATGGTATTTGATGGAGCTGTGAACACTCATGGAAAAGGAATTGTCACTGTGATTATCGCTCCACATGGATCACACATTCCTTTTACTTCAAGTCTGACATTTGATTGTACCAATAATATGGCAGAGTATGAGGCTTGTATCATGGGTCTCGAGGAAGCCATTGATCTCAGAATCAAAGTTCTAGATGTAAATGGTGATTCAGCTTTGGTAGTTAACCAAATTAAAGGAGAATGAGATACTCGTCACCCTGGCTTGATCCCTTACAAAGATTATGCTAGAAGATTATTGCCCTTCTTTAACAAATGTGAATTCACACATATTCCCAGAGATGAAAATCAGATGGTGGATGCTTTGACAACTCTGGCTTCTATGTACCAAGTGAATACTTGGAATGATGTGCCTCGTATCACATGCGACATTTGGATAGACTGGCTCATGTGTTTGCGGAAGAGGAAACAACAAATGAAAAGCCTTGGTATTATGACATCAAACATTTTTTCCAGACTCAAGAATACCCGGCTGGTGTATCGAATAAAGATAGAAAGATATTGAGAAGGTTGGCAGGTAGCTTTTTCCTAAATGAAGATGTGATGAATAAAAGAAATTATGACATGGTCTTACTCAGATGCGTAGATAGACACGAAGCAAACATGTTGATGCATGAAGTCCATGAAGGTTCCTTTGGTACTCATGCCAATGGACATTCAATGGCAAAAAGGATGCTTAGGGCAGGTTATTATTGGCTGACAATGGAATCTGACTGTTACAAATTTGCAAAGAAGTGCCATAAATGCCAGATTTATGCTGACAAAATCCATGCGCCTCCGACACTTCTCAATGTTATTTCTTCCGCATGGCCCTTCTATATGTGGAGTGTAATACGGTGGGAGAACTGGCTTGAGATGTTTTGTGTTTGAATGCAAATGTTGTGGTTAGCAAGAGTCATCACCGACTTTTCTTTTATCCAATAAGGAAAGGCTGAAAAGAAAAGGAAAGACCTTTGAGATTATTTTTTGAGTTCGGGGGGTAGATTATGAAAAGGGAAGGTATTATCACCATTTTCATCCATAGTTATCTATGGGCTCTTAGTTTTTTGCTAGATCACTTGCTTTGTTTGTAAATGTGCTTTGTGGTGATTTTTGAAAGTATTTTTGAAAATGTGTCTTCGTTTAGGCAAACTTTGTAATGGTTCTCATTTTGTAAGAACGTATACAAAGTGTTGCACTT